GTTGGCACAGTGCTTTTTGGTACTCATTAACACTTTCACTGAAATGTTAGACTTCACACCGTCTGTACTTGTAAGCATCTTCAGAGTGGAAAGCTGTAGTTGCAAACACCCACATATTAAATTATTTAACTATCTCTCACTTTTTAAAAGCACAGTTTCGGAAGAAGAGATGCTTCCTCTTGGGTATTAGTTATAGCAGTTAGTTTTTGAAACAAAGTTTGGCTTTGCTCTGTCCATATTTCATCCATAAGCCATGTTAGTATAAATTTGAACACCAATTATCACAATTCCCAATATAAGTTTAGCCTTACTAATTTTATATCAGCTTGTCACTGCTGAGTGCACTATGACTGCTGATAACAAATTTAAGCAGATTTGTTTCTGTAGCATCCTCTTGACAAATGAGGACATGCTTGAAATACAAATTAACCTTAGGCAGTAAATTTGCTGTAGGTGTGAGGAGATGAGAGTGGAAGGCCTAACACAAGACTACAAGATGCCATGATCATCAAAACTGAAATCAGCATGATGCTACTATACCACATCATTTGGCTTATGATTTGTGAACATCATGGTGTTCGGAATCAATTTCAAAACTTAATCAGTGTTACATTGGTAGCCTTATCATCAACACCTCGAAAATATCATCAGTGCTTCTTTGTTTTTCTTTTACCTTAACATTAGCAGTCCCTATAGAAATATACAATGCTGCCTCAAAAACTCAGGAAGGTTTATGAGTTTTGACTGCTCCTCCTGTGTGAGCATTTTATGTTTGACAAGTTCATTCAATAATTTTTAGATATGAGAAAATGAAAACTTGTCATCTACTTGTACTTCCAAATGGTGCAATAAGAGGAACATTCAGTTATGCCAGACAAGATGTGTTTGGGAATAGAACATTACTCACAGACAGGGCCCAGTATTTCCCCTCATCAGTAATATCCATGGCAGTGTGTGTTTGTCAGGTGACTTTATTAGACTGAAATATCTCAGCAACTATGGTATTATTTTCCTTTTCATTTTGTTCAAACATATCCCCCTCATAATTAATTCTAATCATTTTGTGATCTTCACCTTTTGTTTACTGCAATAGTGCAGGTTATATTTTCATTTTGAACTTGTTCAGTTCAAATGTGTACCAAATGCAGTCTTTAACAGTAGTTAACGGTATGCTTGTTTTGTGTGTAATATTTTTTCAAATCCACATTCTCATACAAACATATTAAGTGGCAGATTGGAGCGTGGAGCACTTAACTTTGCCAAGTCTCTGACTAGAGAATGTCATGGCCAATACAAATGAGAAGCCAGAGCTAGAAGAACCTCCATTATCATCAAGGTTTCCTATTTGGGCACACTTCAGCTTTCTGGTAAATACAACACTGGACAAAGACCAGTGGATAAGAGTCTTTTTTGTTTATTTCCCTCCGCTCCACCACTTAATACTCTCATTCAGTGGTAATCCGGTATGTTTTCAACACGTCAAACTTGTTAACTTTGAGACAGCACCATGCCAACATGCTGCAAGGAAAAGGGAGAGTAGTACAAATGTTGCTTCCTTCATCATTTAAAGCTATATTAACTAACTTCTCCCTCTAACCTTTGACCGTTAAGGGCAAAGTGAGATTCAAAATAAACTCAAGCAGTATCCCTTCCTCTTCTGCCTCTGCTCCTCTTTTCCCCTCCTGCGCTGTCTCTGAAATTACATCATATGTGGTCATGACAGCCAGAGACAGTTGTGGCAATCAGGTAGTGCAGCAGTAATAACCAGCTCCAGAAATAATGTATACGGAATATAGAGCCCATAGAGCCTGTGGTTTTCAATGACATTGCAGAGACACAGTGTCAAATAAACAGGGTTTACATTTTAGAGATATGCATATGTATGTCTGACGTTGTTTTAATACTAAGGTACAAAACTTAAAAGCTAACATTAGCTTACTAATGACACTGACATATACACATTAGCTAGCTACAGTACTTATGCATCTAGCAGGAAAAAAAGCCACATCTGTGTTAAATTTTAGTCATTTGGATGTGTTCAGTGCTCTTCATCACCAACACACAAAACCGACGTTAATCCTGGTTTTGCCTTGTTCCTTGTCTCAATGTATTTACTCTTTTACACCCACTCCCTTTCCAGTGATTCTCTATGAAAAAAATGCATGTGCATCATGTGATGAACAGGGAAGTTGTAGTAACATGGGTACATCCAATTTGCTTCACAGCCCAGTGCCACTCTTGGGGGCTTTGTTGAAGTCTGTCTTGTATGCTCATTGTTTCGTTTTGTTTTTGTGATGATTCTACTGGACATTCAGCTGAACTGATGGAGAGAGAGGCAATGAATGTTGTCCTCCACCAAAAAAAGTGATGGGTTCATTCAGTAGCACAATGGGAGATGAATCAGGATGCGTTCTCCCTCTCTCATTCATTCACTCCCTCCCTCTACTGAGAAACTGTTAAGTAAATATTGAAAAAAGATCATTCACGACCTACTTATTAACTTGTTCAACACAGGTGCAACAAACAAAATAACATTAATGATTAATGATGGCAAAATTCCATTCAGGAGTGCTGGCTCCAGGGTTCTGGTATTTTGCATGCTGGCTCACTTGATTGATTGACTGATTGATTTTATTCTTTCAAGCATGTAAAAATAGTCGATATGTCAACACACATAATTTCACACATATCCACAAATGCTAATCCATTATCAATTTGCTTATACCTAGTACGGAGTAGGAAGAAGTCAGACTTATCCAGTCCTACCCCATAACATCATCTTACCATCATTGGTTTGCAAGCAGTATCTCTACATAAATAATTCTCTTCTACACCACACAAGTAATATAC